ACTCAGTTAATGATTGACAGTGTTAAACATTCACATTAATGAATGACACTGTTAAGCACTCAGTTAATGAATGATATTGTTAAGCATTAAGTTAATGAATGGGACTGTTAAGCACTCAGTTAATTAATGACACTGTTAAGCACTCAGTTAATGAATGACACTGTTAAGCACTCAGTGAGTAAATGACTCTGTCAGGCATTCACTTAGTGAATAGCACTGTTATATACTCAGTTAATGATTGACAGTGTTAAACATTCAATTAATGAATGACAGTGTTAAGCGCTCAGTTAATGAATGACAGTGTTAATCACTCTGTGAATGAATGACACTGTTAAGCACTCAGTTAGGGAACGACACTGTTAAGCCCTCAGTTAATGAATGGTGGTGTTAAACATTCACAACACTAACCGTTTGTACGACATATTCTCAAATTGAACATTTCTTATGGTAAATCTAAAATCTTACCTTTGGACGTAGCTTGACAGCTAAATGGTAATAATTTTCGGCTTCTGCATTTCGACCAGCCTGCCTAAACGTAGAAATATATGAAACATAAAATCATTATTTTAGTTTCAGTCACAGCTAATTAGAAATGCAGAATCACAAATATCGCATGTAAACAAACTTAAAAACCATAAAAAATATAATGTTTAAACAACAGATAATATAATTTCTTTCGTAGTTCCTTAAAGTTGTATATTATTTATTTTTCAATATCTTCTCTTGCATGTACGGTAGCAGATATAACAACAATTATAACTGTTCACTCTAATTTCTCAAATTCAGTTGAACATTCATATATACACTAAGTGTCAATTTATTATATAGTTTTTCCAACGGTGATGTCGTTAAAAGTTCTGAATTTTCGTGCAATAATGGAAAATTACTTAATGCCTTTAGGTTTTGTTTGTTTGTTTTTAATTAAGCACAAAGCTACACAAGGGCTATCTGTGCTCTGCCCACCACGGGTATCGAAACCCGGTTTCTAGCATTGTAAGTCCGCAGACATACCGCTGTGCCACTGGGGGGCAATGCCTTTAGGTAATGTTAATTGTGTCGTGACGAAGAACACATATTTAAATGTTACTGAACCACGTATATACATTGTACACCAAAAAAAACTGTATCTGAACCAATAAGTATACATATGATCTCACATTTTATTGGAGCAGTAAACAAAAGACTGCGAACTAATATTTCAAACTAGGTCGTCTTACATATAATAATTTCACATCAACCAAATGAAAGCAGGTTCCAGATATCTCTTCTATTTGTTCTAGGGGGGTTGGTGGTGAACAAAATGAAGATATTCTACTGTGTTTAACAGTAAAAGTGATATCACGAATGGAATAACAAGAAGTAAAATAACAATGTTGCTTATTTTATTTTTATCCCTTAGAAACAGAGTTATTTCTACAAGGTGTGCTATTTTCCAGAACGGTAGTAGAAAAATTATTAAAATCCCCAAGTTCCCATCCGCACTGAGAAATGGAACCGTTCCACCAAGAAAATTATCCACGCACTAAGCCTTTCTCCTTTACGACTTTCTTGACAGAATAATAACATACTACTGTATGCCTCGTCTACGTGATATACGGCCTTAAATTACTTCTGTAATTCTAACGTAAAATGTCATAACGAGTCCAAAAAAAAAAGAAAAAAAGATTATTCATTAATCCAAATATTATGAAAAACTGGTCATTCATATTCAAGCTAGGTTCAAATGCACTTAAATTTTTTTCTTATGTAGTAATTTAGATTAAAATAACTTTATACTGCATCTAGATATGAACAGATTCGTGAATACTAAAATATAATGAGTGAAATTACACTAGGATGGTTTATAACACAGAATTGTTACATTCTAAAATGTAAACTTGTTCTATCACGAACTTTTTTTTCTGACAAAAATAAAAGATATTTACCTTAAGGTATTGGCAGCGTTGAAAACAATTTCGTACTCTTCAGGGGATAGCTGAGCAGCACGAAGGTAGGTTTCAGCAGCTTCGTTATGGCGCTCTGATTCTGATAAAAACTGGCCTAAAAAGCGAGAACAGCAGACTTTGTTAAAACGCCAAAAACAAAGTACTGCTAATATTTTCTTGAAGAGAATAGAGGCAACGAACCTCCAAAAACTGATAAAGAAATTAAAAGCGTAAAGCTCCAAAACAGTTTTAAAATTAGTAAAGCCAGTGTTTTTTAAATTGACAAAACAAATAACACTCTAGAACATTTAACTAAATGTAACGTTTTCAATCAAAAATGTTATTTAATAACTTAACTTAAAAAATTCGGGCAAATCTGACCAGAAAATAATATTTGTTGTGATCTTTGAAAAAAAAAAGCCCTGAAAAAAGGAATAATTATTGCAAAAACAAATATGCAATAGAAACTTTGACGGAGAATATGATAAAACACTGATCTGAGTATTATGAGAATATATAACATAGGCGAGAAAGAAGTACATATAGTTTTAAGTGAAAAGTGTGTGTGAGTAATTTCTAATAGTTAAATACTTATACTAATTTGATATTTTCAATCTGAGCGGTACCTTGTTCAACATATAGGCTGAGCGGCCAGATCAGAGACACTCTTAGCATTGGGGCATAGCCATCCCTTATTTAGAACTGCTGAGAAGCTAACCAGTCAGCACCAGCCACCTATGCGCGTACTCTTAAACTTATGGTGGGATTTAATGTTACAGTTATAGCTCCTCCTCGCACATTGCTGAAAAAGGAGTCTGTTCACGGGTATATCACAAATGAAACCTTGGACATTATAATACGCAGCCCGATACGCACACTCGCGTCATTTGTAAGGTACACTTAGCATAATGCTGGTAAACACTCGCGTCATTTGTAAGGTACACTTACCATAATGCTGGTAAACAATCGCGTCATTTGTAAGGTACACTTACCATAATGCTAGTAAACAATCGCGTCGTTTGTAAGGTACACTTAGCATACTGCTGGTAAACACTCGCGTCATTTGTAAGGTACACTTAGCATACTGCTGGTAAACACTCGCGTCATTTGTAAGGTACACTTAGCATACTGCTGGTAAACACTCGAGTCATTGGTAAGGTACACTTATCATAATGCTGGTAAACACTCGCGTCATTTGTAAGGTACACTTACCATAATGCTGGTAAACACTCGAGTCGTTTGGTGCAATAGATTTAGCCTTTAAAAACCATTGTTCTGCTTCTAAAAGTCGGTTCTGTAAAAAAAAAAAAGACAAAATATTCAACTTAGTGTTATGTGTGCTGTTTAAGATGTTTTCGTTTTTGAAATTGTTATATTATATTCATATAATCGGTACTTAATGTTTCCTAACACAAACACGCATGAAAATATTATGTCAAAATATTATACGTATTTTAGTCTTTGAAGCTTATTTTCTAAGTTTAGGTCTTATTTTAAATCGAAGAATTGGCGAGTTTATTACCTCTTTTATTATATATATATATATTGCTTTTGCAAAATAATTCGTGGATATTCCAGTTCTTACATCATGCTTACTGTATTGTGCTTGAATGGCTAATAATTAAGCTAGTTATGATATTTTGCCCACCTACCCTTTTATACTATGTCGCCAATAGGCGGCGCTCCTTACCCATTTAGATAATAATTTCGCATATGTAAGATGTGCTGGAACGTGATCCGGTTTTACTCGTAGGGCTTCTTTGTACCACTGTTCAGCGTCAACGAACTTTCCGAGCTTGAAAAACGCTTCGCCTACAAACAAAAGCCATTTGATGCTGGTATAAAAGCAAGTTTTAATCAAGAAAAACCTAAAACTAAGATGAATAACTATTGTTCCTTTACTTGTCAGGCGAGAAGCCATAGCGGGCATTTACTCTAGCTGTGAACAGACGATTATCAGTGTTTTAATACAGATGAGGCGACTTCAGTTTGCTACACAAAAAAATTTATCCTGCAAAACAGTAATAATAATAAATTAGTTGCAATTTATATAGTAAAACGTATGCATATATCCATGCTAAACTGCATTAAACTTCTCAGCCTTTCGGTGCTACTCAATCAGAGATATAACTTTATTTCAGTGGGAACCTGCTTTTATCAGTTGAGTAGAGTCAACAAGCTAAAATCTATATCTTAATGTTTACACTATTGAACATTAGTGTAAGGGTTTAGTATTAACCTAAATCTCCTAAGCTGGATGAATCTAGTGAGGTACTATTAGGTTTACGGACGAAATTATCCTTACTGGTGAGAGCACTCAACTGTGTTTATTTGTTTCACACGAAGATGCATAGAAACTCTCTGTGCATAAAAAAGTCATCACAAATTTTGAGCTGATAGACTAGAAAACTAGAGGGACGGCAGCTAGTTAACAGCACCGATATTGAACTCTTGGACTGTTCTTGTCTGACCAAATAGTGGGATTTAACAATCGATCTTATAACGTATCCACGGCCACAGGAGCGTTTTTGCAGCAACAAGATATGGCTGAGAGCCGTGAACCCTTGGATTCACAATCAGGCATGCTAACCACTAGGTCAAGCTTAGCATCACTCAACTGTAAAGCAATGCATTATATTAAGTCTTAGTTTTCTTTTATAGTGGAATATCATATTACGTATTTCGGGTCATTTTTAAATACAGCATTAACTTCATTAATTTCTAAAAAAAATTTAGTCGTGACGGATAGAGTTAGCTTACTTTTGATCAGAAGTTACATATAATTTACCAGAACGGAGTTTTTTTTTGGTAGTCTTAAAACGCTTGTAAAATATTCCCTCAGCAATGAACTAGGAAGTGGCGCCACCCTTTGGGAAATTACAAAAGTTATTTAAAATCCTGATATATTATATTTACAATTACTATGCAATATGAAACAAAAAAAATTGAAACTAGATGGTGTCAACACAGATACTGAATTCCTACGTTGTAAAGTTGTAAAAAGAAAATACTGAAAAGCTAGTCAATCTAGGTATAGAACAATAATGTTAAGATAGCATATCATTAATAGAAGCCGAAGAAATTACGACACACACGTTTGGACGTGGCAGAGATTGTTAACGGTGTATTTACAATTAAATATGAAACTGAGTTCATCTCGCATTTCAATAACTAAGTAAATTACACACATGCGTTAATATCGGGCTGATAGTTCACCATGTACAAGCTAGGGATAAACTGGAGGGTAGGAACGTGAGAAACAACCAAATATGTTACACTGTAAAAAGCACATTAATTACTTCAACCATGCACATCTATAAAATACAGTGTGAAAAGTTTCTTTTACATCATATTGAGTTGATCACAGTTAGCGGGCTCACATATTGTCTTATTGCAATAACATATTAGCGCTGAGCTTAAACTGATTTTCTTTGTAACAGAAAATACATCACTAGGGCAACTGAAACTTAAGAAGAAAAAAGGCTTTTTTAAATATGACAGAAAACAACTTCGAGGTTAATATAACAAGAAAAATTAATTATAACAAAGTGAAAAAAAAGCTCATATAATCGTTTCACGATCTTGTAATCCACGTATTTTTACGTAACTACGAAATGTACATTTATTATAATACTCATGTTTTATATGTCCAGAAAACACGCTCGCACCTTACTAACTAAATGCGAATGCATGTGCGCTTCATTTCAAAATATATAAAGAAAAGGTGGATGTAAATATACTTTAGGAGACATTTTGTACAACAACATATTAAAAGCTTATCAAAGTTTTTAAAATGGCCTAACGTTAGATCGTAGAATAATATTATAAGTTTATTTATTGATAGTATTAAGTTTGTTTTAAGTTAAACATAAAGCTACACAATGGGCTATCTGTGTTCTGCCCACCACGGGTATCGAAACCCAGTTTCTATCGTTGTAAGTCCGCAGACATACCGCTGTGCCACTGGGGGGATATTATTAAGTACGATAAAGTTTAGCCCTAACTAAACTAAACCGAAAAACCATACATAAGTTACAGTGTTAATTTATTTCGTTATCGAATTTACGCCGTACTTAATAAAGGCTTAACTAATGTTAGGCCTAAGACAAGTGGACTTATAGATCTAGGTGTCTGCGATTAGAATTATTTTGTATTATTCTAGGAATCCTGTATTCAAAGAACTACTGTTGCAATAAAGATATTAATTTGATCGCAGTTATTTTGTGAGTCTTACCAGTTTACACTAACATAGATCAAATGATATTCAGTAATTTAAGATTTTTTTTTCCAGGTGATGTAATTCTTCTTCGTAATTACCAAGCCAATTTAGGAAAACCAGTCTCTTAGATTTCTTGATTCTGGTGCAGAATGCCTGCCAAGCTCGAAAGTAACGCGAAGAAACGGGTTATAATTGCTAGGAAAGACTTAAAGGTGCAATTCTTTTGGCACCAGTGAGAATATCATTGTAGCTGTTTTGGTTATATGTTTGGTTCTCTTAAGTCCTTTGACACTACTCCTTTAGAAAGTTCATAGACTTATTCCGCTTCTGCATAGGTAAAGTCCCTCCCCTTACCGCATGTAACATGTTCTACTATCAGACCAAATCAGATTTTTGTCATTCAAAAAAAAAAAAATTGAGGTACGTGTGACGCATATTTCAGGTCTTGTCTAATTATTTTGTGTTTATCCAATAAATTCATGAGAAAACAACTTTTTTTTCTTTATTCACAAAACTCAACTCCAACAATGAGAAAACAGGTTTGCTTTTTCACAAAACTCGACTCCAAAAAAACATGCATACCTTTTAATGCTAGTAATAAACGACCTTACAACAACATTTTTTTCTCTCTTTAATTGCACACTTAACGTTTCGCTTTATAGCTTCTTCGGGAGCGTTCCATTAAAACACGGACCGTAACTAACAAGTATAAAGCTTCAGTTGGTTTAAATAATGACTTCTAACTAAATGCGTTACTGATCAAACATATTGAAGTTAGCTTTTAAGTAAATATTTATTCCAGAGGTTTAGGTCATTTTAATATAACGGTGAATTATTCAGTACGGTCACTCAAAACTTATAATATTAAACAACAGTCCTTACCTAACATGTTATAGAGTGACTGAGGTTGATAATGATCAGGCATTTTGTGCATAGCCTCTTGATACACGTCGATGGCTTCCTGTGTATGAAACAAACAAAACAATATCCTACCACATTTCACAGCAAATTTTACGTTTTTTTATATATATATACTTTCACTACCGGTGGAATCCACACATATTAAGTAACTTTTGGTTTTTGCCTATTACAAAACCCGATGTAAAGAGCTGACAAAATAAAGGATGAAATCTCTCATTTTCTGTATAAAATACAGAAGGAATCCCCAGTAGCGATTAATAGAAAAACTGGAATATCTATGGAATTTTAGGGAACATGTGACGAACAAAGTTAAGGGCTTACAAATTTCTTGTTCAGCTGTGGCCATAACGGGTATCGAAACCCGGTTTTTAGCGTTGTAAGCCTTCAAGGCTTACCCCTGAGCCATTGGTAGCAAAATTGGTTTAAAAATCTACTAATAATTCTGGGATTAAAAGTACACTATATATATAAAGCACTGTCGAATATATAACTTTCTGGCGTTTTTACTTTATTTACTTAATCTTAATTTTAACACCGATCATAATGTTGAGTTATTAATCATTATTCTAAACATCTGATTTGTAAGTGACTTAAATAAATTTGTAAATAACAGTCGTTGTTCATGAAAAGTGGTAGTATATATAGCGTCTACTACTGTGTCCGTCGTATCTCAGCTCGCCTGATGAGCATTGGTATTAAGCGAATGGCCCATTTGGCACTGGATATAGTAGATGTAGTGTGGCTGACTTATTATAACATATTCTCCTTTGAATTCATTCAGCGGTCTTAGAATAAAAAAAACAAAAAACATATCGACTGAAAAAAAAGAATAGCGTAGTGTGTTCTTTGTTTTGCTTTTACTTGAAAACATTTAAATATCAAATAGTTTAAAACTCACCTGATATTTCCCTTCATCAGCGTATAAACGACCTAGATTAAAAAGGGCTGATATTTTGGTACTTTCGTGCATTTTTGGATCCTTGAGACCGGCGCTGTCTAACTGGGCACAATGGCGATAGACCTGAACGTACAAACATCATACATAAGAAATGAATAAGTTTGTAAACATTCTTCGCTTTGGATATTTCTAGCACAAAAAGGGGGCAAACGCCCTTGGATATCTGATAAAATATTCAAATTATGATTTGTCGAGGAGTCTTTTCTTAAAATGACTATACTAGAATAGGCACTACAGTATATTTCTTGTTTCAGCCAATATAGTAGTTTAACATTTAGTTGTTGAAACACGTTATATATGTGAACAGATTCAGCTTTGTTTGCATGTAATATATATTATTCAAAATGAAACAAAAATTAAACAATAACCGTACGAATAAGGAATACATTATTACTTTTTCTTCTTCTTCAAACTATTGGATACAAATACTGTCTGCCTTTTCAGAAATATTTTAAGATTGGAGCACTCGCACATAGACATTAAACCTCTAAATATATAAAAGAGGACGTTTGTTTATTTGTTTATTTTGTTCGCTATAGGAAACCAAACGGTTGAGCTTACGAAATTTTAAAATAACTTCATAATAACCAGTTTTTTACAAGAAATGTAATGGTGCTATTTATTTTGTATTTGGTGTAGTATTTGATGACGAAATTGACAATTAATGATTACTGCGCCATTTTTTGTAATAAACATACAAACATAAGCACGTTTTGCACATAGAAAGCGTTATGGCAGATCACCTTGCTGTCAGTTCAGTATTTCCAAAAACAGTTTTCTTTAAACAGTGCTAAGTGATTTCATAAGTGATTTAGTAACGTTGTGAATTCCAAATTATTGTTTAGTGATACAGGTGATTATGCCACCCACGAAACGTCCTTTCTATGGAAAGTCTTATATCGCTAAAAGAATGCAAGCACAAAGAGCAGCT